CCTGCACACCGATTTATGTACATGCATAATGGCGATCGCCGGGCCAAGTCGCCGGCATTTTATGGGACGAGCTGGCCACGAGCCCAGCGAGCTTGTCGAGTACGCTCGTCGAGCCCGGTCTTGATTCGTAAACGAAGAGAGCTTCCTAGGAAATCGCCTGTTTTCGATGATTCTCTTTCTCTGCAGAAGAAAAAAGTTAAGTAAATTGATCCAAAAAAATGGAATGATCTTTCAATTGCTCCGAAACAATGTAGCGAATCTCTGACACTTAATTAGAGTCTCTTGTCAATCTCCAATGTTACGAACGACGCGTAATTGAAATAAATTGCAAAAATCCTAATGTTACTTTCCGTTGAAACCAATCCGGCCCTGGAGTCTCCACCGTATGTAAAAGTTGCTGCTCTACTGCGTTCCAAATTCGTCCGCTCCGAGCGGACTTCTTTTTGGCGCACGCTAAAATATAGCAGGCGCAAGATATTAATTTACAGGAAATTATCGAGTTCGCTTATCGCGAGGAAGAATACACGGGAAAGAGGATGGAGCGAGGGGCCAATGAGAGGGCTAGGAGACCAGGTTCAGATATTTAATCTGGTGCGGAGTGGGTAAGGCTCATCTAGACAAGGAGAGAGGGCCTTGTCGGGCGAAGATCGAGCGGAAAGATAGCCGATACCTCTGGGAAATATCGGTATCGATAGGTGATCGGAGCTAAATGGTTTATGCGAGCGATCAACCTCCGACCCCTTGTAATAACCGGCAAGGAATCTGCCGCCTGATCTATTGGATCGAACTTGATCGAGTTACACCTCGACGGGAGGGGCCCCAGTCGTATTCCCACCCGGCCATTTTCTTTCCGTGAATTCAGAACGGGGCAAACGGATTATCGGGTCCTACACTTTGTGGATCGCGTCGGCAACAAGGAGGCTCTCGAATTTAGCGAACCTCACCTCGAAAATGTCGGTACGTTCGGGAAATGCAGGGATCCGAAAGATTTGTTAGGGTTTACGCTCTTTTAACAGCGCCGAAGCTCTGATCAGGCACGGTAGTTCTTCTCGACGAGGCATTCAGTTGGAAAGAGAAGAGCGACCGTTTAAAACTAGCAGTAAATAAGATGTCCAGGATACGAAAGGATAGAGGCAGGCTCGTCTCTTTATCTCTATCCTCTCCACCTTCTCCTTTTCTCCCTCTCTGTCTCGCGTACTACGATCAGTTAGGCACAGGCAGAGCCGGGCGATACATATTATCCGTTCGACAATGAAGGCGTCCTCCTAATGAAGGAGAGCGGTGATCGGGGATCTCGTAAATCCTCGGATTATTAATACCTGGCATCTCTGTGCGTGAAATCCGGCAGGTGGCCGGTCGGACCTCTAATCGCGATCCCAGAATAATTTACACCCATAGGTATTCCTCGGGAATCATCGCGGGAGCATTAATGAGCGTCGTGCAGCGGCGTTTTCGCGTGATCTCGAGAGCGCGCCGATCGTTAATCGCAAACCAGGTGACGCCTGAGCAATCGTGAATTCCGACGTCTCAATATCCCGATTTCTCTCATGCGGACGTCGAGCTCGCCGCCGATTTTAGACACCAAAAAATAACTGAGCGCAACCTCATCATTATTCATACTTCATTATTAAAAAGACGATTCATTTTATAACCAAACAAGTCTTCGCAACGGCAAATATGTCTGGCAATGAATTGTAATGGCCCTATGATTGAAAAGCATTTTATTTAAATCTCTTTTAAGTGTTCATTTTTTAATTTAACCTTTTCAATATAAATTTAGATGTGACGTTGATTGTTTGCTTAAATTGGTATATATTCGCAATATTCATAATGTATAAATATAATATATGTAAATAAATTTTTAAACAATGTTATATACGGACACTGGCATTTCTTGCATAGACCAGCAAGCGAAGTGCAACGGGTTTGAACGGCTTTGCTACAATTACCAACGCGATTTGTCACGGCCAGAGAAATCCGTATAACGATGCGAATGAATCACTATGCGCTTTGCTCTGCAAAGTCTTGCGGCATGCGCAGGTAAGAAATAAAGACAATTGTACCGTTGAATCACGTCAAAGAAACACAAGGGCGAGACTAGTTCCTATACTCACGTTGAAAATTTCAAACTTGAGAGTTTCATTGCAAGCCCGTAAACGGTTGAAGATGACACACAAAAAAATTCTTAAATCGTAAAATAATTGGAAGTAATTAAATTTGTGACGTTTGTTAGCGTTTATCACGGAATTTAAGAAGTTTAGCTCCTGCGATGGGGATCCTGTGTTTCGGTTTCTGCGATTTATTGGTTTCACAGCTAATTGTGACCCAGCGAGAAAGGAGTCGTCGGTTGAAGTCGAAACGATGTCGAATCGACGTCGAATTTGACAGTGACTGCGTTTCCACCGAGGGTCAGAGTCGGTCTAGAGTCGGATCAGAATCAGGTTGGGGTGAGCGTTTCGGTGGAAACACCAGATTCAAACATGAACCCTACCTTATTAAATTTTAAGATCAAACAGAATCGAGGTAAATCAAAAAGTTACTTATTACTATTTAACCTGTTGACATCAGTACAGGAACCTAACAAGACTCTTGTCGCTTCCACCGAACCTCATTAACCTTAAAATTTTATAAAGTAGGGTTCAGGTTCGAGTTTGGTGTTTCCACCGCAAGAACGCTCGCCCCAACCCGATTCTGACCCAACTGTAGCTCGACTCTGACCCTCGGTGGAAAAGTAGCCAGTGCCGATGTCGACTTGACATTGTTTCGACGAATCATTTCTCACTGGGACTTTCTGGATACTTTCTGGATAACCGCAGAACACTATCATTCTTGGCAATCGGGAAGCGCCGCTCTGGGGTGCCGCTGGGCCGAGGAGGGGTACGTAATGCCGTTCGTGCCCGGCGACAATAGACCGGTTCGCGATGAACGAGGAAGAGGAGGCAGCCGCCGCGAGAATTGGCCGGTAATAGAGTCCTCAGGCGAGGGCGAGGGCAGAAAGCATCGGCCGTTTAAGCGCTACTCCTCGTGGACGGCTAATAATATTAACCGCGCCACGTCGCGATCGCACAATGGCCCTTTGTGGAGGCGCTCGGTCGCGCGCGCTCGCGCGCGTGTTCGCCCGCGTAAATGCTCGTAACATAAATCGCGAGCGGCGACGCGCTTTATTGTCTTCGCGCGACGCGTATCACCATCCTCTGCGATGCTCTCCCTTCCTCTCTTTGTTTCTCCTTCGTTTTCGCGACGTCCACCGATTTTTACTCGCCAAAATGTTTATGCCATTTTCGAGCGACGGTCGTCTTCTCCCAATACCATCGCGAATTTACCTAACGTTGAAAGAGATGCTCTCTAAAAGTCAGTGCATTATCACTGAAAACATCAGTTGAATAATTCAGTGCTACACTTATAACTGTGAATCAGAATATTCACTGTTTTCAGTGGTAATCCGCTGATTGACTTTCAGAGGGTGGGCTTGTTCAACTGAATATGCAAGAGAATGGTGATCACTTGATCAGAATTGATTATTTGAAATAAACGCACTCGTGTGCGATATCTACCTGACTATAACAAACATTTAATGATATTTAATTAGGACATTTAATCAGAACGGTCAAGATTCCTCAGGTTCTTTCTGTGTCATTTTCGTATGTTTTTTTTACATCCGAATTTAGTGACTAACGTGTCAAATTAAAGTTTAATGAGCGACTTGATCTATAACAACAACCAGAAAATATTGTTACATCTAAATTGTGTTAAAGTTAATTGCTGTCGCACGACATGAACATAAATAATGTTTATTATCGTATAGAAAAAACATGGAAATTACTGAATACGGCATTGATTTAGAGGTACCTTAAAATATGAGAAAAAAATTGAACATAAATAAATGTTCTGCAAAATAATAGACGTGTTAAGGAGGTGCAATAAATTCATCGATCTCTTACTGTGTCAGATTGCAATTTTGAACTGCTTTCTATCTCATTCCGCGTTTGGCAATCGTCTAATTAATTGACAACACTAATTTACACAATATACTCTACCTTATCATTTTAATATTCCCCGAAGTTACATAATTTAGCACCTAAGCGAGTGGTACTGACAGTGAGTCTCATTGTGAACGCTTGGAAAGTTCGCTCATGAAGACTTAGAAATCGGCGGTCGCGATATTTTTAACAGCGCCGAATATAAATAGCGTTGCAATATAACAGCGGAAGCGATGTTACACCGTCTTTATGATTTATGCGCGGCTCATTGTTCGCCACGCGACGTCGACAGCGGCCGCATTGTCGTACATCGTTATTATTCCGCCAGCCTCTCCTTCCCCCCGCATCGACGTTAAACGAACAAAAGCTCTCGACTTTCAGCGAGAGCGTCCCAGACTCGTGGCGGGCATAAATCGCGCTCGCGTGAATTTACATAAATATCCGCGCTGCGATTTATTCTTCGCTAAACTTGGAATTGACTCTCGTCCAGTGAAAATCGGATGTACCGCGTCCCCCCTCCCCCTCACGCTTCAATTTCCAACATTAAGTTACGTTTATCGGAGCAAAACTGTGGACAAGCCGCTACTCCGTTTGCTACTATGTCAATTATGTTAATGCACTGTCTAGCTCATCAAGTTAAATCAATTGAATCCAATCGATTAGCCTAGTCCTAAATTATTCTATCCGACCACAGCACACGAGACGTCTCGCGAGAAGAGCATTATTCTCGGTGGAAAAAAATTCTCAATTAATCTACTAAAATAATAAAACCCATATCGCGCAAGTAGAGTACGCTGAAATTAATTTAGTCTTATACTTACGCTGCCCTCAAACGTCTCTTATCCGGTCGCGTTGCTTTCTTCAGATGCGATAAGAGGGAAGGGGGATGGGACGACGTGCGGGGGATGCAATGACTGTACGCCGGCGTGGTCTGGAGAATAAATTAATATATTTTTAATGGATATATGATAGGTACTGGTTTTTTTTCGCATATCCCGGATCATCGTATGGCAACTCTTAATCACCCCTAACTATAAACCGAGCTCGTAGATCAACCTTGCTTACGGGGGTGGGGGGGGGGGGGTGGGAGCAAATCTTTGTACCGCGCCGTATTCACTCGTTTAGGATTTTTAAAGTTTATATACAACACCAAACAAATTCCTATCGCAGGGGTCCTCAATATAGCATTTTACCTTCGTTTTATCCTCGTCTCTCCTCGCCAAACTGATTGACGCCGCTGGAACGTTATCACTGCGTTATTACTACAAATGAAAACGCCGGAGAAAGTGATTCGCCAAGTCTATCTCCCCTACTAAAACTGTTAAAGTCGAGTCTCATTAACGAGTGGCTGTTTTAGTAATTTTCATCGGGCCAATCGCGAATGTGAAAACCCCCGCCCTATTGCTTTAAATAATATCCGCGATCGACGAACACTGGGGTATCGACTACTCAAAAATTAAATAAAACGGACCTCCTTCCCGCTATTTACATTAAATACATGCGTATACGCACTCTCTTTATTTCTCTTTCTCTCATCTTCCCTTTTACTCTCTCGCACATATACACATGCACTTCCTCACACACCACACACACACACACACACACGCACGCACGCACGCAGCACACACACACACACACACACACACACTCTTTCTCTCTCCCTTTCTTTCAATCTTTCTCGCTTTTTCTGCCTTACCTCAAAGACGGACAAGCCGCCTAGTCGGCGAGCAATGTCCGCGTTTATTGCACATTTTTTGCCATTCTCTTCTTTGAAAGGAGACACAATGGACGAAATCAAACGCACTCGATCTACGACGGTCACGCATGCATTCGATATGTCGAACTGATATTAAGTCTTGCCGGTCCGTGCCGATGGCGCGAAGTTTAGATCCTCGAATTCCTCTAGACTCAAAGAGACCCAGAATTATATAATTAGTCGTGAATTTTGCAATCCCTCCAATACTCGATTTATCTGCATTTTCCGCCTTTCCTCCTTTCAATTGTCTACCGCTTTCAATTCGTACAATACAGACTCTCGGAGACCGCGGGATATCAAGAATCTAAACGCGCGTTCACCGATGGACGTGAGAATGTCTACAAGTATGCGAGGACATCCATGAATCTAGCGATGCTCAGTCCAAGCGACAGGGAACCCTGGCAGAAACGGGTGATGTTACCGTGGCTAATCCCTCCGCGCGATTTCTGCACGATCGGGAGTGCCAGTTCCGCTTTTCACGCTTCAGCCTTCGCTCAGCCGATGGTCACTTCACCGTCACTCCGGCAAGCTCCTCGACGAGGAGCTACACCCACCTCTCTGATCGCACTCTTCGCCACCCTCGGCTGCGTCAACTTTTAATCCGGCACACCTCGGCGCCCCTCTCGCCCGCCTGTTCACTACGTCGTGGAGGGCGATGTGCAAGCCGACGAGACGGGAGACGTCGGCGACGTCGGCGTCGCTGGCCTGCGATCCGACGCCGCGCTAGTCCGATTGTTCCCCAACAGGCTGTCGATGGAGAACGGGTTCAGCCTCTTCCTCTCCTCCCTGCCCTTCACCGAGAGATCAATGCTGCCGCTCTGGACTTCCTCCTCGCTGGCGGCCTGCCTGATCAGACTCCTGGCGCCGTTGCCGCCCGGTTGACGACCCGCCCCGACTCCCACCAGCTCGCGTCGTCGCTCCAGCAGACTCAGGCCCCAGTGGTGGATACCGGGTTGGTGGTTCAAGTGCTCCACCGGCAGACTCTGCGGGTTCTTTCGGGACTCGCCGGTCTCGCTCGCGTTGCTGTTGAGCGCCGGGAAGCATTCACCGTCCACGGAACCGTCGGCCACCGAGTCCACCCGCTCGCTGCCGCTCTCGCTGCAGGAGTCCAGTCCGCCGACCACGTCGATCTCCTCGTTGGCGTCGTTTCCCGACGCGGATATGTTGCTTTCGTTGCCCAGGCCTAGGTGGCCGAACGAGTTGCTCAGAGGACCGCTCGCGGAACTACGACCCGCCTCGCTACGAGACTCCCACTCGGCACGCAACGTCGATAAGTCTACTGTTATGCCCTGAAATTAAGAAAATGAAAGAATTACGTAACTACTATTTGATTATATAATTTGGTAGATATAATCGGCTACTGCATTCAAACGCAAAACTGCTGTTTCAAAATGTGGCTTGGTCGGTTACTGCTAAGAGCAACTGTGTGAAATCAATAAATTCCTACAAACGTTATAAAAATGTCTTACACGTTATACATAATCGCCTTTGTGCATGAAATTGTTAATAAAATTACAGAAATTTAAGAAAACGTCGTGTTATTGTGCAACCCTTGAGTACAAGTGACGTAAAAGATTTCCATATCCAAAAAAGAAGGGAAGATATTAGTACACAGTAACGTAAGTGCTTAGAGATTTTTAAATTGCCGAAAGATACTTTTGCGAGCTTGCGGCTTACTTTAGCAGCGAGCTTCCGCTGCTGTCTCTCGAGAGCTTTCAGCAACTTCTTCTGTCGCCTCTCGCGCTCTTTCCGTCTCAGCTCCTCAGGTGGGATAGGTTCGCCGCTGCAGCTTTGAGGATGAGCATTATGCGCCGGCCTCCCGGGGCCCTTCTTCGTGTGTTCCTTCTTCCGCCACTTTGCCCTTCGATTTTGGAACCACACCTGCAACGACGACGGTCGTCGGGAGTTAAAAGAGTACCCGATTGTGATTTTTCTAATTAACAGCCGAATGTGCGTTCATTGAAAATTAAATAAAATTCCAAATTTCATTGGAATCCGAGACGCCCGTCTAGAGAATAAGGGAGGTCCAGGTTCAAACCCTGGCTGAGGTAATATTTTCCGCAATAAATTTTCCGCATTGGCCGGTTAATTAACAAATGCGGCCAGCCGTGGTCGAATGCAATTTGGAATTTTATTATTATAATGGCATGTTGAAGAAACTAATGTTAAAAATTAAATAGTTTCTCCACCGAGGAGGGTGGAAACGGGAGGAGAAGCAGCGCTTTCTCCACAGTCCCACTTGGTCAATGTCGGTCAATTCTGGCCACGACTCGACCCACCCCTCTGTCTGCCTCTGCAGAAAGAAGATTAAATCGACCACAAGTTCGCGCCAATTGACGTCGATGAAAGCGCTGTTCCCCGCAAGGGGTCTTGAATCGTAACGGGCGTTCGCGGCGCGTCGCGTAAATTCCCCCGGATCTTCCCTCCCATCTTCCCTCCTCGCGCCACGCGAAAATTTCGTACCATGCGAGCTGCTTAAATCACGAGCGCCGCCTTTGCCGCGGCGCTATCAGAAGGGCGGATGCATTAAGTTCCGAAATTACAGGAAGGCTCCTGTCTCAGGACGAAGGACCAACGACCCTCCCGGGTGTCCTGATTCATTGAGGACGACAACCCTTTGCTCGCGTGAACGCTCGTGGCATGAACGACGATTTAGGGCTAGCGTGAGCCACGACGCGACCGAAGGGTAGCGAGGGCATTCTCTCGAGGGGTAGTGGGGAAGGGTGTGGTGGCGGTAGCGAAGGGGTTGGCCGTGGGGGGTGAGATGAAGACATTAGTTGTACGGCCCGGCCGGCGTGCGGCGCTGAGCTCACGCGAGCCGAAGATCAATAGATCCCCTTGGCTCCCTGAAACACCTACCCGCCTCGCGTCACGTAGCTTTGCGAAACTTTCTTCGACTTCGGGACACTTTACGAACCCCCCGAACGAGCCCAAAGCGCCTCTCGTCCGTCTCCCCTTCCACCCCCCGCGGCTCGCCGTCCGCGAGTCTCCGTTACTCGCGATTAAACTTCCGGCGATCGTAATTAATTCGATTACTTCGATGGCTCTGTTTAGAATCCGTCGCACGCGCTTACGCTATTTAATTCTCTATGCTTCTCGACTTTCAGCGCCAGCTCCGCTGTGCTTAAATCCCGTAATGTGAAACCGCCGCAGCTACCGAAGTAAGTTTTCAAACTACGTCAGGATGTCGTTGCAGTTTGTGTCAATAATTTCAATCTGTCGACCCTAAGTTTTTATTCCGGCATTATTTGATACCACAGCCAGAAGAAAGATTTAGTCAGGTTAGACAAATGAAATACGTTGAAATTATATTTTTTTGAATCACTAAATTTATATTTGCTTCTACCAAAACATTTGCTAGATTTGAAGAAATAGATACGAGTTCTCTTAGAGATTCCAGTCTCGATCAAATAAAATTTTGGTTAAGGTAAAGAAATCATTTCTTTGAAATTAAATGAAAGTCCAGTAAGGTGAAAGTTCAAAGAAAATTTGTTTGATTCAAAGAAACTTTTTTTTTGGGTGCAAATGGGAAAAAGCATTAATGGGTCTATGTTAAAAAGTCGTAGACGTGGAAACGACGTCCAATCAATCTGTCGCCGATGGAGGAAATTCGAGGAGTATCGCTACCGTAGCTCATCCCGAAACCTTAGCCGCAAGCCCGACTGTCTCGGCCCGGAGCCGAGGAGCACAGCTGTAACGCATTACATTAACGCGATACGCGGGAAACACGACTCGGGACTCCGGGCATTAGCGCGGCTATTCGTCAGGAATTATCGACGACCGATAGCGGTTTAACAAGCCGTCTCTGTCCGATGGGAGCCGATCCCCCGACGTTCCAAATGGACAGAGTAACACAGTTTTTCTTCACCCGCGCAGCGGCGGCGTGCGAGCTTACATACATTGTAAGCGCACGACCGGCTTGGACACGCATAAAGCGTATCTTTATGGCGGCAAAAACTCGACGAGCAGACGTCGCCGCCGATAACCATAATCTCCCATACGGTGCCCGTCGGGCAAGATAATGCTTTCTAATGTAATTACGTTTCCGCCAATTAATAAACGATGTTTTCCACGCCGTGCCGATAAGCCGCGCACTTGCCCGGCCGATTAAATTGTTTCATACCGTAATTAACCCTTCGCCTCGCGGTCTTCCTGTTTTTATCGTAATAGGAAGCGCTCAGCCGGTCGGCACTTTACACAGGGGTGCGTTAGAAAAATGCGGAGAGCGAATGCCGAGCGGAAGAAAGCGCGGCCGAGCGATCGTATTCAATTGGTATCGTATATTGTCTCGCGCGAAAAATGACGTCGAGTTTCGCCGCGAGTCGTGTGTAAACAATGGATTGCAATAAAATTGCACGATAATTGCGTCACGGTAAGCGGACGCGCGATTGGCTCGACGTTTCACAAGCTCGCCGGCGTTTCACCGGCGCGGGTCGCTCGTCTCGTCGCGGACGCAAATACCGCCTCGATGATAGCGACGATCGCGCTCGCGCCGGGCTCTCTCTCCCGCGATAAATCAAAACGCGCGCTTCCCGATGTTATTTACGACCGGCCGCACGAATTTCGCGGACGCGCGTAATAAACGCGAGACCGCGACGCGATAACGCGCGATATCGCCCGTACAACACCTGCCGCCGGGGAAAATATTGATCCCCAAGTACCCTCCCGGAGTCCTCGAATCTCCCGAGCCTCCTCCGCCGATCGGCGGACGAGGGGGATCGGATTTTGCCGGGGCGGAGAGATGGCAGGAGACGATAACCCGGCCGAGCGGTGACACAATGTGACACGATGTCACACAGCCGGTGCGTCCTTTCGATGCTTCCTCCCCACGACGGGGAACAGCTCTCAGATTAGATAACATCGATCACCACGTGCGATAACCCTCGGTGAACGTATGCGCCCGCAGCATCTTCTACAGAATATCGCAACAAGCAGATAAACGCGGGCGCCGATCGATCAGCGTTATCGAGCGGCTCTCGCGAATATCGTCGGGAGAGCCGCTCTCTGCCCCCGCCCTCTCCCCTGTTCCTACGATCACTGCGCTCGTCGCTTCTTCGTCTCGTGACGCACACTGGGACATTAATCTCAACCCTTGAACCGCACGCGCCGAATTTCGTCCGGCTCCACGACGCGTTCGCGCGGATTTATTTAGTCTACGGCGGCTATCAAAGATCGACGAGGCGATAGGCACGAATTTAAAGTGACTTCGGGATCGAATTTCCGAGGGTCGACAGACAGCCGGGGGTTGCTTCCGGCCTCGGACCTTTGCCCCCTCGGCTCCGTCTCGAGGGGGTAGTTAGTCCATCTGGTCCGCTACCTTCGGAGATCCGCTCGAGGGTGCAAAGTCGACGCGGATTTGTCCGCCCGGCGATCGTTCAGTCAAATAACACCGGCGCCGATAGGACGCCGTTGTTTCTCAATGATGTTCTCGCGAGGGTAAAAATCCGCCTCTCTTCCTCGTATTTCTTCATTTGTTTAAATATCGAAGATTTTCTTTTAAGAAACTTGAGTCTCAGTTTGCGATTCGAGTCCACAAATTGAAGACAATTTTATATTCCGCGCAACACTGGCAACGTGTTGAAAGTCCTCTATTATGAGATAGGTTTCTGATATGTGGCAGCAGGTTTTCAACACCTAAGTTCAATCGCAAATCTTTTTTTTTTGCAACGATTGCACGATCTAATTTTCCACTAAACAGATTTCGCTCCAAGGGCAATAAATTCGTAGTGGCATCAACTGATGATGCCTATTAATTTAACAGAAACCCCGTTATCCCATATTAGCGGACCTTCCTCTACATATAAAAATCACAAATTCTATTCTGAAATCCGACGCGAATTGGAAGTTGTCTAGAAACACCGTAACATCGGAACATCGAACGTAGGGAGTGAGATTTCGTGGGATCCTTCGCAAGGATCTATCGCAGCGACGTGGGCGCGTGTCATTAAGGCTTTCCGCGAAACCGGCGTTAAAGTCCGCCCGACGTGGCCGGCCTTCTTCCGGCACTCGGACGGTTCACGCCCGCGTTCGTCGAATACAGTCCGAATCCTTCGACAGGACTGCGAAGGGGTGAGCTCTCAATTTCACGGCCGGTCGGACATACGGTGACCCTCAGGTCCTTCAAGCGGATATTTATATTTATCCGCTTAGACACGCGTGTTAGGCCCCGCAAATAGCGCATACATCCGTTCCCTCCTCCCACACCGATGCGCCTCCTCGTCGTTCCTCATATCGCGTCTGTCTCGCGAACCCTTTCCCACTCTTATCTTCTCCTCGCATCGCATTCGCATCACGTTCCGCAAACAATTTGACATTATTTTACAATTCTATCTCTCGTCCGTTTCTTTCGCTGCGCGCGTTGAACAAGAATCACGCGATGTTTGCGCGGCGTGTGCTCTTTCGGTCGCATGTTTCTTCAGTGCTACAGATTTTTCAAGAAAATCAGGGCGCTGTTTAGCGGCAGGTGGACAGAGAACGCCGAAACAGCACTGCAGTTTTCAATATGAAGTGCTTTTGTAACTGAAAATCCTGTTAAAACTTAAGCCACCGTGATCATACATTCGTACTCCGTTTCGGACTACGAATCGGTTGAATTGAATAAAATTAATCGCGCCGACTTAGAACGTTAAAAACATATAACGAACGCTCGCAATGGCTGACGTTTTTTAATTAATTTACATCCCGTTCTTTCGTTTGTTTATGAATCGGAGGCGTTAAAGTTCTTGTTTTGATTTCCGTTATACACGGTTGAAAGAATGTGACGTCGGCGACGTCTCGTGTGTCTGACGAGATAAGTAAGACTGGACGAAGAGACTTACTGCCACGCGGCTCTCTTTTAGCTCGAGTCTCACAGCCAGTGCTTCTCGCATAAAGACGTCGGGATAATGACTCGACATGAAGGCCCGTTCCAATTCTTCCAACTGCCAACTGTTGAAGTTAGTCCTGCTTCTTCGCCTCTTGTTGCCGCCCTCGTCCGATTCCCCGTCGCAGCCTGAAAGGAAGAACATATATTCAGAAAGGGGATAGGAGAAAAACATAAACCGGCCCGAACGTCAAGTTTCTGCGTAAATATAGACGCCTGGTATCCCGAGGTACGAATCGAAGCTTATTTCGAGACTTCAACGATCAGAGAAGATCTAACAAGCGTCTCGATAATTTCGACTATCAAACGCAACGATGTTTCGGGCATAGTGTAACTAGCAGAGAGGTCCACTCCATCATTTGTTTCGTTTCGCGTCGATCCCTTCTGCGCATCCGACATTTTCTTGGTCCAGCCAATGAGAGGAAAGTTGTACGCGGCGTAGTGTAGTTCGATGAGTACACCACAGACTTCTACATATTATACCAGACCGCCAACTGAGGCGTTGGAAGTGAAGCCGCGTCGCCATCTTTAATGTGGGCAAAAGTTCATATACAAGGTGTCACATTTCGAAACGTGGAAATTTTAATTCTGTTTTCACTCCAAAAACTTTAGAGAGTACCACTACTAGTACTGGACCCTATTACTGAATTCAGCTCCTAAGAAAATCATTCCCAAACGTAACCACAGTATCCTTCGTGATAACATAGCAGCTATTCTTTTCTACATGCAACCATCCACACCTTTTCTTTGAGACTGAATGCCCGAAACTATTGAGAGATACTGAGAGGAAATGGGAAAACACCCCAAAGATATTAAGCATTCAGGAGTTTCCAGCTTCGTGAATCAGCATCGACATTTTCGGACGTCGGGCATTAAAGTCGCTCTCCGAGGCCGCGAAGACCCGCGAAGTTCGATGCCGCGAGAGTCCCGAGGAGCGCAAAGTGTAATGACGCAATAAGAAAGAGCTCGAAGGAGCAGAGGTCCCCGGGATTCGATGCCACGGAGATCGGGAGGATCTAAGGGTCCGATGCGCGCCTAGGAACAGAAGAGCCGTGAGTAAACGATAACGGCGACATAGGCCGAACACCCGCAATTACTTAATCGGCGCGAGCTATTGTTGCTGCGCGGCGGGATCGCGTAAGTGCATGTCTCGCAGCGAAAACAAATGCAGTAGTTACGCTAACCGCCGAGCAATAATGCGGCCCGTAGTTGTAACGGCCGACGCGCGCGTTCCGATAATGAAGTTAACCATGTAGTAAAGTGTGCACTCCTCTTCAATCTTCTCCTCCGATCGAGCAGCTGCACCGGCGCTCGCTTTCGTGCTCGCCACTTTGCCGATGTAAATCGATGAATTCGCGCGCACGCACACTCCGCGAGTGCCGTACGGGGCTCCTTTTGTTCGTGGTGGTGTCAAGCCGAGCGTGACGCGAGTAACGGAGAGAGATTATAGCGGCAATCATCATTGTTAGACATAATCTAACAACGTAATAATTCTTAACGCGAGTTCGTACCTACGTAATTCCAGAGTCGCTCGCGGAGAGCACATATCGCCGGGGTAGATTTTAGAGATAAAAAGAGGGAACTTTCGAGAGGGTCGCTTTCGCGGATTAATACTCGGCTCTAAGGTCTAATCTCTCAATCGCGTCGACGCGCTAAAAATCTGCAGATCCCACACTTAACGCTGCTGATCACGAACTTGTCGGCTCGATACCTCCTAATTTCGATTTATCCAATGTTCATCCTTGCACATTCCTCCACCAATACAAATGTGCTTTGCTGTCGCTCATTATTTTTAATGCGCGGCTCTAAAGTCTAATCTCTCAATCGCGTTAATTCGCTGTAAATCTACAGATCTCACCCGATACTCGCGCGAGTGTTTTTACGCTGCTGATCACGAACTGTCCACTTAATACTCACAATTTTGATTTATTTAATATTCATCCTTACGTACCTCGTGAAAACGAAAAAAACCCGTGTCCATTAGATTTAATTGAACTCTAATGTCAAATTTCAATTTGCTAAAAATCTGCAGGTCTCACTCGATACTCGCTGATCACGAACCGTCGACTCAATCTCCATTTGTTCAACGTTTATCTTTAATATTCCGGATAAAAATAAAAAGTTCTGTTATCGCTTGTTATTGTTAATACTTGACTCTAGAGTCTAATCACTCAATCGTGTCAATTCGCTGTAAGTCTACAGATCTCACTCGATACTCGCGCGAGTATCGATTAACGCTGTCGATCATGAACTATAATATCGACTCGATACGCTCAATCTCAATTTATTCAATGTTTCCCAACATATTCCACGTGAAAACAAAAAGGCTCTGTTATCGCTTGTTATTGTTAATTATTGCATGAAAGTTATCATTATGCGAGCAATAATTTACCCTTTTTTCGAAAGGCTTAAGTTTGGCGAACGATCGGCGGATCGTTGCATCCGGGCAGCGGAACGTTATAATTTGCGGCAGCCTATCTCGCGCGTGATCGATATCGATATCGAATTAAGTACTGTATACTTTCGACGGGAATTATTATGTTCGTGCGACACGAAAATGGAGGACGACGTCGATGGCGGACGATCGCGAATTTATCTTAATTTCGCGCCATTTGTAATGCGCGGCGCAAGGTAAACATATCGCCGGGCGTCGAGTGAATCGAGTCTTTACAAAGTGGCCGTAAACACGTAATCTAATATGAAAAAGAAAAATGTAACAAATTACACAGACGTAAAAATATGCGCGAAATTGAAACGGGAATCAGCGTCGAGCACCGAAGCTGTAAAACGATACGAGGGACAAGATTGTAAACATATATGAAAAAACAAAAACAAAACCGGCACGTAATATACGCGTGTAATGATTTATCAATTGATGGCAGGCTCTTTTTAATTTATCGTCTCTAACAAGAGAAGAGGAGCGATTCGACGATGCCGCCGATATTGCGCAAAATCCCCTTGGTATTGATTAAAATGGCGCCGGGCTCCGGGCCGAGCGACGTCCGAGGAGCAATAACCGCGCGTGATCCGCGGCGGAGGCCCGTACCGAAAATCGCTTTCCCATCTTATCCGGGCACGCGCGAGATAAAGGCCCGAGATGCCGGGCCGCGGCGTCCCGGCGTCCCGGCGTATTGAATAAACATGGAACTCCAGTGATTTTACGAGGACAATCCGCCACCACCCGACGGCGATATCTCCGGCGAGGATCGGCGGTTCCGTGCCGCGTGTATGCATGCTAATGGCCGGAATTGAATAAAAGATCGGGAATTATGATTGACCGGGCGATGCCAGAACTCTCTCCCATTCCCACCCCCGTCCGGTTATCTCGATCTGGCGCGGAGTGAAACGGAGATGGAAATAAATGCTCGATCGCGGGTCCCGGAGATCTCGTTTCGTGGGGGAAGAATCCTCAACTCCGTGATTGCAGAATTTCGATATTGACTATGTTCGCGCAACCGATGAAAAGATACCACGGTTACGATTTTATCTCGCGTCTAAACGTCTCTCGTGCGGTCCGAATAAAATCGTACGAAACGTTTACAGTTACGAGCGAAAGAACATGGAATTTAATACAGTGTCAGATCTTACTCCAAGCTTGTAGCGTACATTCGGGAAAAACGGATTTGCCGAATTAAGCGTACAAAAATGATGCCCGACACAGACTCGAAAATAATTACGTTGGACACCGTCAAAATTAGGATATTCAAGATGCTGCAAACAGTTTTTACATTCTAGCAACCAGCTCGATCAATATAATTATATGAAAAGATACCTCGGTTACGATTTTATCTCGCGTCTAAACGTCTCGTGTGGTCCAAATAAAGTCGAACGAAACGTTTACGGTTACAAGCGAAATAACATGGACTTTAATACATTGTCAGATTTTACTCCAAGCTTGTAACGTACGTTCGGGAAAAACGGATTTATCGAAGCGTACAAAAATTATGCCCGATACAGGCTCGAAAATAATTACGTTGGACACCGTCAAAATTATGTAGGATGTTTAAGATGCTGCAAAAACAGTTTTTGCATTCTGGCAACCAGCTCGATCAGTACAATTGTTTAGATGGCGTATAATTATATTTCAATCTATGTCAAACTTTTAGATAATCTTTACGTTATTTTACAATGGCGAAACCCTTTTGTGTAAAAATTATAATTTCTAATAAATTCCAGAGCACAATGCGCGCGATAAAAAGCGCAGATATCGCGGGCCGAAGTGGTCGACTGGGGGGCTAAAAGTGTCAACATATAAAATGCAGGATCGACAGATAAAAGCCATTGACGTCGCGTTTTATTTCGCTCGAGCGTTCGTAAGAGCCGGTCAATTAAGATTTACCGATGGCGGGGTAGGCGCCGCTCGCGAATCGGCCCGAGATTGTGTCGTTGAGGTGGCCGGCGCCGGTGAAAAATCGCAGGGGCCGGGCATTAATCAGCGTAATTAGATGCCATTTATTCGCGGGCCGTCTCGTCCGCGCCGCATCTCGCTCATTATTGATAATCTATAATCCGTAATAAGCGCCCCGGCGCAATGGCAGGTTGAGGGATCGTCGCGAGCGATATAATACCTTTATCGTGTCAGTGCCGGCCAATCGTCGCGCTCACTTGCGCCAAATTTCATAATGGAATGAAGCGGCGATAATTAATAATCCCGCGGTCAAATGCGGCGAGCGCGATGGCGGACGATTTCAAGTGCACGCGCGATTTCGACGCCGCGAGACGAGATGCTGGTCGCACGGGGATGGCGCACGATCGACGCGTCCTTTTCGAGGAGCCTCATTCAATTCTGTTTACAAAACCGGATGATAACGGACTTGTAATTTCGCTTCTCGTCGTATAATTAAGTAAAAGAGAAAAGAGAAGGAGACGTAATTGCGTAAAAAGTTCTCTCCCGATCTCGCGGAGAGAAGCCTCCATTCGCCGTAGCCGAAGCGCGTCGCGCTCATATCACGAAATTAGTCGACTCATTATCATCGTGTCAGGTTCATTATGCGCCGAGTACGTTACGCCGGGGGACAGCCGCTTCCCTCGTTAAGAAGGAAATGCACAATTCCGCTGCGAGGCGAACGCAACGAAAATAGATTAAGACGACGCGATCCGCGATCAAACCGGACGTGAAAATTGTTTAA